AGCAGCAGCAGCAGCCCCCCGCCGCTGCGCCCAGGGCAGCCTGCGACCGAGGTAGTCAGAAAAATGAACTGTTGATTCTGTAAAACTGAAATGACTCAAAGCAAAGCTCGGTCCTCCTTTCTTGTTTTTTTCAGTCAGTTTGCAACTCCCACTTGCCATTATTACACAATACAAATATGCCATTACTGCAGTTTTATGACCATTACACAGCTAGGATAAAGCATGTGACTTTCCTTGACAGTTACTTGGAAAGGCCATTTCCTAATAATGTCATTGTTTGCAGTAATGCAAACGTTTAACTTTATATTTAATGGGAGCTACTTTTATCTGCTGTGCCCCGGAGTGCTATTTCTATGCTACTTCAGACTTTGAACCAAGAACAAGTTCTGTAAAAGCTTAGTTGAAAGCTGATATAAACAACATGAGGCTGTCCTGTTCAACCCAAAAGCCATCAAGCAAGTATGAACTTGTATACCTGAAGCTGAACTTCCCATCCAGCTTGTAAAAAATACATTCTAAATAAAACTACATAAAGAAGCGGGAAATGAAAAATTAAGTCTTGTAAAACCATGTAAAAGGAAGACTGAGTGGCAGAGTACGGGGAAGGTCCTGGCTTCTATGAGAACAACTTTTACAGCATTTTCCGTTCTCCTGTATTGCTTTTACTGGGCACAAGGAGGTTTATTCGTTTTTAGAACTGGAAAATAATTAATTTAGTGTACTGGAAGTTGTGAAAAGGAAGACTTGGGGAAGAACTGATCTTCTGTTCAGGGAAGAAGAAAAGCAATAGATCATGTCAAATAGGCCACAATGTTTTAAATAAAAGTGGGTGTGGGGAAGAAGGAAGGCAGATGATCATAGAATCACAGAATGGTTTGGGTTGGAAGGGACCTTAAAGATCATCTGGTTCCACCCCCCTGCCATGGGCAGGGACACCTTCCACCAGACCGCGTTGCTCAAAGCCCCATCCAGCCTGGCCTTGAACACTTCCAGGGAGGGGGCATCCACAGCTTCTTTGGACAACCTGTGCCAGTGCCTCACCACCCTCACAGTAAAGAACTTCTTCCTTATATCGAATCTAAATCTACCCTCTTTAGTTTAAAGCCATTACCCCTTGTCCTATCACTACAGGCCCTTATAAAAAGTCCCTCTCCAGCTTTCCTGTAGGCCCCCTTCAGGCACTGGAAGGCTGCTATAAGGTCTCCCCGGAGCCTTCTCTTCTCCAGGCTGAACAACCCCAACTGTCTCAGCCTGTCCTCACAGGAGAGGTGCTCCATCCCTCTGAGCATCTTCATGGCCCTCCTCTGGGCTCGCTCCAACAGGTCCATGTCCTTCTTATGTTGGGGGCCCCAGAGCTGGACGCAGTGCTCCAGGTGGGGCCGCACAAGAGCAGAGTAGTGGGGGAGAATCACCTCCCTCAACCTGCTGGTCACGCTTCTTTTGATGCAGCCCAGGATACGGTTGGCTTTCTGGGCTGCTTTTCTTTGCCGGGTCGTGCTGAGCTTCTCATCAACCAGCACCTTTAAGTCCTTCTCCTCAGAGCTGCTCTCTATCCATTCTCCACCCAGCCTGTATTTGTGCTTGGGATGGCCCCGACCCATGTGCAGGACCTTGCACTTGGCCTTGTTGAACTTGAGGAGGTTTGCACGGGCCCACCTCTCCAGCCTGTCCAGATCCCTCTGGACGGCATCCCTACCCTCCAGCGTGTTGACCGCACCACACAGCTTGGTGTCATCGGCAAACTTGCTGAGGGTGCACTCAATCCCACCGTCCATGTTGCCAACAAAGATGTTAAACAGAACTGCGTTATGGTCCTGATTAATGTTGTGTATTCTCATCGTGCATCTATATAGCCTATTGAAATTCTGTCATTGTAAAACTGGAGTAAGCAGATCTAATCTGATGTTTCAGAGTAAAATTTAGTTTTGAATTGTTGCTTAGAAAGCTGCATGCAGAAACGTAAAAGTTGATGTGAAATGGTTTTAAGTAGATGGAGATTCAAGATTAACTATGAGAGTCGAAAAGTGAAGCGCAGCATTTGATTTCAACTATAGTTATGGATTTGAGAGGGAGAACAGATTTTGTGCTTTCCTAGGTTAGTGGGATTGCTCTGATTTGAGCCAGTGCAACTTGGAGGCAAAACTTTGCCTAACAATGAATTATTTTGACTGAAAACAGAAAATATTCGGATTTTCACATGCCCACCCCCCGAGAATGCTTTCTCTGGAAGGCTATGGGAAAGATTGTCATTGATAAAAAAGAATAACATTCAAGGCCTTCATTTTTTTAAGAATACCTGCAAATTTGAGGGGAAAAAATAACTACCTTTCCTGCTGTACTGTTCACATATTTTCTCCGTTAAGAAGGCTTCGATCTCCAATTAGATTCTTTAGAAACTGTAGTAGTACGTTCTTCATTCTCCCAGTCCCTGCCCTTACATTCTGCGACTTGGGTGGTGTGGCTAGAGCACTTGCCAGCGAAGACTGAGGCAAAGAAGTCATTGAGTACCTCAGCCTTCTCCATATCCCAGGTAACCAGGTCTCCCATTTCCTTCCAGAGAGGGCCCACATTTTCCCTAGTCTTCCTTTTATCACTGACATACTTAGAGAAGATTTTCTTGTTGCCCTTGGCATCCCTGGGCAGATTTAATCCTATCAGGGCTTTAACTTTCCTAACCTGATCCCTGGCTGCTCAGAAAATTTCTTTGTATTCCTCCCAGGCTACCTGTCCTTGCTTCCACCCTCTGTAGGCTTCCTTTTTGTGTTTGTGTTTGTCCAAGAGCTCCTTGTTCATCCACACAGGCCTCCTGGCATTTTTGCCTGACTTCCTCTTTGTTGGGATGCATCGCTTCTGAGCTTGGAGGAGGTGATCCTTGAATATTAACCAGCTTTCTTGGGCCCTTCTTCCCTCCAGGGCTTTATTCCATGTTACTCTACTGAGCAGATCCCTGAAGAGGCCAAAGTCTGCTCTCCTGAAGTCCAGGGTAGCGAGCTTGCTGTGCACCCTCCTCATCTCCCCTGCCTGTCCTTCCTAAAGAGCCTGTACCTTTCAGGTGTCCCTGATGCCGATAAGATCATAGCCCTGTAGGCGTGCGCATGTCTCTAACTCGTCTGGTTTATTCCCCATGCTTCGTGCATTTGCATAGAGGTAGTTAAGTTGGGCCCCTAATGAAGCCAACTTACTGGCTGGAATTCCTTTGTGCTGCTCTTCAGGTGCACTCTTGCTGACCTGTGATCCTTCTCCAGGCTCTGGGCATCTATTCCTGGCACTGGCATCCAACTGGTAGGAGAAGGATGGATTGAGGTTCCCCTCCCCTAGCAACTTTAGTTTAAAGCCCTCTTCACCAGCTTGGCAAGCCTATGACCAAAGATACTTTTCCCCTTCTCTGACAGATGGACCCCACCAGCCCGCAGTAGACCACGTTTCTCAAAGCGAGTCCCATGGTCTAAGTAGCCAAACCTCTGGCTGTGGCATCGGTCCTGTAACCATTTGTTGATTTGCCAGATTCTACTGGCCCTTTCAAGCCCCTCCCCTTTGACTGGGAGGATTGATGAAAAACCTACCTGCGCTCCAGAGTCCCTTCCCGCCACTCCCAGGGCTCTGTAATCATTCTTGATACTCCTCTGGTGCCCACGTGAAACAACAGCAGTGGGTAATAGTCAGTGGACTGTACGAGGCTTGGTCGTCTCTCGGTGACATGCCTGATACGAGCCCCCAGTAGGCAGCATACCACTCTAGGGAGTGCATCAGGTCGGCAAATGGGCGTCTCCATATCTCTCAGCAGAGAGTCGCCTGCTACTATCACCCATCGCCTTTTCTTAGTTGCGCTGGTTGTTACACGGAGAGCAGATCGGGCTGCCTTACTCAGCTCCAGCGGCTCTCCTGATGTGTCAGGTCCTTCCTCTTCAGTCTGCAGAGCACTGAAGCGGTTCTGCAAGAGCACCTCAGCCTTCGGGGAAAGTCTCTTCCTCCTGCTGGTCCTTGCTGTTGCAAGCTTCCATTCTTCTGCATTATTGGTCCCCCTCCCTTCTGTGTGTGCCGGTGGGGGAGTTTTGGGCTGTTTGACCGTGGGTCCACTGCAGACTGCGCTTGGAACCAGCTATCTAACTCCTTCTCAGCCTCCCTGGTGTTACGCAGCCTTCTGACAGCTCAGCCACCTGCTGCAGGAGGTCCTCCACCTGGGCACACCTTCTGCAGGCAGCTCTGCCGCCTGTCCCTGCCCCGGGAGAAAGGTCTGGGCGCTTCCTGCAGTCTGAGGCCTGCGCTGCGGCCTCTCTTCTGAGGTTCACTATTAACTGGACAAAAAGTAACAGCCTTAAATAACAGCACAGGATAGGCTGGTTTAGACATCAGGAAAACCTCAAATAGCAAGAATGTTCCGATTGTAAAATTCTTGTGTGATATCTCTCAGAGGATTTTGTAGTGCTTAATAGAAAGATTACAGAAATAGCAAAGCAAAGGGATTTTCAGCAACAGGAAATGCCATTTTCCCCCCTTTGAATCCCTCTCCCTTCATTTTCCTCTTGATTAGTCTCAGCTAAACATATGAACACGCAGTGTGTGAAATTAAGTTAAACGTACTTATCCGTGTATACTAGCAACATGAGAATATGGTTCTCTGCAAGCATCTACCCACATGTCTTTGCTGTTCTTTGGATTATGTTCTAAGTGTCCTGGCGATTATAACAGAGAATGTGAAACTCGTTGATTAGCGCATTTAAAAAAAAAGAAAAAGTATGAATATGATGAAGTAAGTTTTTCCTGTTATTTTCACCTATTACAATGCCTTAACACAGCCACTACAGAAGTGACTGCCATGTGGAGTAGAAATAATCATACAGCTTTAACTCCCTAGCTTGGCCATCAGCAGCAATAGAGCTGAGATGCTGAGCTACAAGCTCTAGCCTATGCTGCAGTGAAGAAATTTTCTAAAAGAAAAATTAAGAGGTGCCATCTTGTGGATGATGAAAAAAATACAACTAAGTAACAAATAGGCAGTATCTCACTTTTAATATAGTAAATATACAGTAACTTTGAATTACAAGATCACTTTCCAATGAAATTACTAGCAAAAATATCCACGAAAAGTTCAAATAAATAAGAACACATGATTACCAACATCAAAAGCTGGGCTGCAAATTCTCAGTTAATCAAGTTCCAGTCTTTCCAGATAGAGTGGTCTGTTTAATGCCAACTAATGCCAATGGGAGCAACAAAGGCTCAATACCTTTAAAATAGGGCAAAAAATAGTACATTATAGGCAATTTCATACTGTAGAAATTTCAACTATAATATGAGCTTCAAAAAAGGTATCACATACTGACTCAAAAAACTGTCAAAATACTCTCAAACTTTTAACAAGATCCTTTAAATAGCAAATACAAGATAAAAGTTACCTCAAACAATAAATGAAACACAGAAAGGACACAAGCAATAATGGGATTGCAGCGTAATTAAGCAGTCTGGAGTCAAACAAGACAGTTTAGACCCATGAAATAAGCAAAACTGTCCCCTGCAGCACTATACCCCTCTGCCATCATCTCGGGCACGGGCCAGCAGCAAAAAGCAGAGGGGCACTGGCAGCACCCAGGCGGCAGGGCTGGGCGCTCCGCTCTGCATCCTGGGAGAGGGGCATCGGTGGGAGAGGAGAGCTCCCTACTTCTGGCAACCCATTTGCTCTAAACTCAACTTTCTCCGAATGAATACTGCTGAGCCTTTTTGCCTCTGTGAGAAGCACTGTCAATCACCCCACAACCCCAGATTCATACCAGCAAACGTAATCTCTCATTTGGGAAAAAAAAAAATACAGTCCACCTTATCAGCCTTAACAAGTGGCCACCCCGTGATTTAGGATACTGAACCAGCAGTAGGGCTTGATTTGAGTCTTCCTTGCAAGGCTCTTCCACTTGAGGAAGATGGGAAGCCCCTCTTCCCGGAACGGTATGCATTGCTCACACAATGAAAACCCCTCTTTGGAGCATAAATTCTGAGTAACTGCAGAAGCTCGATACCCGTACTGCTAAGAGAACGAGGACCTGGATTGCGCAGAAACTTCGGAACTGCTGTATACAACTGAAAGCTACCACAGGGTGTGAGGGGGCGTGGGGAGGTAAAACCTTAACTGACCACAGTATTTCACTGCAGAGATGCAAGTAATGGAGAAAAAAGAAACATGTCAAGAGAAAAACAGTATTGTGTTAAAATTCCTCATGTTACACATTAAAAATACAGTTTAGCATTACTAAGGAAAACAGTTTATACATATTGGAGTAAGATTCTGTTTCTTCACATCTTTGTGACAGGGTAATTTCATTGAAAACAACAGAGTTCTTCCAAGTTTATACTAGTATAACTGAAGCAGAATCTGGCTATTTATTTAAAATGCAACCTGAGTATATTTGTTCTGCAGGTAGTACTGCAGAACATTAAACCTTTAAATTATCTAGAAAAAAAATAAATCCCTCTGTTTAAAAATCTCACATCACAGTCAGCTTGTTCTTCAAGAAGCACTGTCAATGCGAGGCTTAGACACACATATGATCATATTGCTAAACACAGTGAAAAAAATACAAATAGCTACACAAACACTGTGCTGTGGAACTATTTTAATTCCAAACTGGATGTATTTGATGGAATAAATTTTTCTGTTATATTCAGAAGTGCTTCTAAAGACAATATCCATCAAGACAAAATGAAGGTAACATAAACCGTAGTCCTCTTCATAAAAGGAGCTCTTTTTGTCTATAGGCCCAGAACATAGTCAAGTTAAAATGGAAGCGAAAGTGCTGCAGGATAAAATCCAACCCTTGCAGGTCTGCTCACGCTAAAAGCTGTTTGTCGAGGCAAACACAGAATTTCTAGCTCTGTATGTGAACAAAGACGACTGTATGAGAAGTATCAAATCAATGAACAAAAATTAGACTTGTGTGATTATCATGCGAGACAAAGTTACTTGGCCAGATCACAGCCAGAGCTTAATGACAAACAAGTACTCAGACTTAGTTTAAGTGGCATCACCATCTCCACCTGCTTAACTTTTTAGTCTCCAACAACAGATTGACGTCCATCAGATCACAAGCACTACATTAAAACAAAACTTTCCTAGGTCTGTGAGAAAAAACTTTTCTCAGTGCCAATCACCTTTGCTCTGGTCAAAGCTGACAGAAACACTACTTATTTACTTATTCTTTAAGAAGTGATCATGCAAAATGTGCCTGTAGCTACGTGCCCTCCTTATAGCCTAGGAAAGCATCAATATAGAGTAACATTTCACAGGAAAATTTAGCGTACACTAATATTCAGTGCTATAATAACATGCTAAATTAATTACTGCATCTAACAGAATTTGTTTAAAAAAACTGCTATTCTGATTATTGACTTGATCCTGCTCACCTTGCTTTTGGTGCTTATAACAGTGTGCTAAAACAGTGTACTAAAATCGTGCACTAAAGTAGTGCTTATTGGCAAGAGCAGTCCTACTACCTTTCACTACTGTAAATGTGAATCAGAAAAACTTGACTAACGAGGGCTTCCAGAATTTGGCCAGAGCTTGAAATTCTAGCACTGGATGCAAGCACCTTTCACCTAAACAAAGCTGAAATGCATGATAAGTCTGGAACAAAACAAAAGGATGAAATAGCAACAACAGAACGTGCTGGTCCTCTGCAATTGCTGGTGTTGAATGCCATCCTCTTAAGTTTCACCACACCTCTGACACGGCCAATTTATTTGATCTTTGAGCATGTCAGATTAAGTTTCACTTTAATTGCATAGAGCTGAATGTACATGCAACTACAATTCATTTTAACTGTAACTTCACAGATACTGAATATGGAAATGTAATACTGTATATTATATTTGCTTCCTTTATCAATTTAAAATTTCACATTTGGTCTCTAGTAGACTAGGAAAAAAAACACTAAAAATATTTCTTAGACTATTCCTGAGCAATGTTTTCATGTACTGTAAAATACCCTAGTTTATTACTACATTTATTAATATTCTCACATTTTAAACTACATGTAAATCCATGCTTTGAAATTTTACAAAGCTGAAGATCTGGTAGGCACAATGAAATAATAGAAACAGCTAAGCATCTTAAAACCAAGATGAGACCAACAAGAGAAGTGCAATTTAACTATATACATAATGTACTCCTTAGTATTTGCTACTTATTCGGTTTCTATCACAATGTGAAGGATGCACTTGTAAAATCTGGTCCATCAGACCTCAGCTCACTTCTTATAAAGAGTTCCCTGTGACTGGTGGCTGAGGATGAAGTTAAGGCTGCTCAGTATTTCATTTTAAAATGAAAGTACAAAGCATCCTCTAGAATTTCATCTTTAACAAGATCGTGTCCACAGCTGCTGTGATTGATTTGAAATTGTAACAGATGAACTGACACTTGAATACTCCCTGAACTATCCTTCATACTCTCTTCTGTCTCGCAGACACAAGAGAAAACAGAGGGTCCGAGGACAAGACCCAATCCTGGTTGTACAATTTCTTTCTGTAGGGTATTTCCCCACGTCACTTCACTAAACCTTAAAACAAGAAGCCAAGCTAACTGAAGTAGACTGGACCATGGGATAAATAATAATAATCTCGGGTGACTGAAAATAGGTATCTTTTGTATCAAAATATATCTTTACTTGAACTTAAAATAGCCTTTAAATTCATCCCCTAAGAGTCTATTTTTTATGTTTTGAGAAGCTACCAGTTCTGCAAACTAGGGCACAGAGTCTCTGGTAATACCCTCATTTTGCATTAGTCATATATATCCATGTGCAATTTGAAATTTGGTCATTTCCTCTAAATGACAAAAAGCATCAAGGCTTACAAATTGAACTTCAAGGAAAGCTGTCTGTAAACACAGTGAAGATTTCTGGGTATAAAAATATGCATTCCATTTTCTTAATCTGTCACCATTGAAGCTGTCTGCTCCCTAACAATGTTTTGCCTTAAAAAGAATCCTTTCTGCATTAAAATATTTCAGAACATTATCTCCATTCTTCTTATAAAAAAAAAATATCTAATTCATTAAAAAAATCCAATTCATCATCTTCTGTGAAGAATTAGTTTGACTTTGCATAGATAAGCATGCTCCATTATTTAATAAAAACAGTTGAGCCCTTTTCCATCTGAAAACACCACCATCAAACCTGTCTCACAAAACAGCCCACCTGCTCAAGAAAGAGAGCATGGATCCTGTTCTCTCAAATACACCAAGGTAAGCATCAACACCGCAGACTTCAATGGACTTCAACTGGTGCAAGAGGAGGGCATGTTGTAGTCATACATTCCTCTAAACTTTCATACTCTGCTATTGTTATCTTCATTGAGCAATTGTAAATATTTTTGAGGAAAGACCAATGGAAGACATTTGCCTTCAGGGAAAAGATTTCCTGCTGGCCTTGCTGGCTTAAGATCAAATGTATTGAAATGAACAGTGCTGACTTAGAACCGTGCATCAAGAACATATTTTCTCAGGATTTTCCTATGAGGAAAACATGACCCTTCTGCATTGGCCAAATGCTTTCTAGCAGTCAAGAAGCATCAACATTTACTAACGAATTTTTCTTCATTTAAATTTGCGTGATGTTTGCTTCGTGCCATTTGTTTTTATTTTCCTGTCCCCTGCTGGTTTTTTTGAAGGAACATAATTGTTAGAGTTGCCATTTTTCTTTGTATTTGTACATGCGTATGTTTTTAAGCCTTTGATGGGAGCAGCTGAACCATGGAATACTGGGGTTTGCTTAGGTGGTCTGATATTACCAACACTTTGAATTTTAGAACTGTTCTCAGAGGGCTGCATATTGAGGAGCTGTTGCTTTGCAGTTGGTTTTTTTTTCAGTTCACTCCTTACTTCACCAGCTTGCCTCTGAGAAGACACTGCACATCCCATTCTCTCAGAGAATTTCAAGTGACCTGGATGAGAATGTAACTGGCGACTTTCTTCACAGTATGAGTCTCCCCTGTGACCCGAACAGCTTCTGGGCAGCTTTGTAACACTTTCTTGGGGGACCACTTGCTTGTTAGGCAAAGGGCTGAGCAATGCTTTGCCTTTGCCAGGGCTTTTTAGGGTACGGATGGAGCCGGGAGCAGTCTGTGGTCTGGCTTTGGCTGCCTTTCCTTTCTCATTCTGTACAGTCTGCATTTGCAGCCATTCCAGCTGCACAAGGCGATCAATGTATTTCTCAAGAAATCCTGTTGGCTTTGGTCGAAATTCAGTTTTACCCTCTACATTAACAAAGATGGCCAGTTGCTTCAAGTCCCATGAGTTGAAAGGGGGTGGGAGGAAGTCTGGGTAGTAATATTCTGCTTCTTTGAAACCCACATCAGGGACATGTTCCAAACAAACTGGATCAATTTCTTCGGCTCTGAGAATGAGTTCTGGTGGTGTGCAGGGAGATGGAGGAATGGGAATCCTTTCTGAATCAGAGAGATCACTGGCACTATCGTCTTCAGCATCTTCTTTAATAATTTGTACTGATTCAAAATCAAGAAACATTTCATCTACAGATGCTTCTTGCCATTTGGAAGAACATGGACCAGCTTCAGCAACATGTTCTTCATGATTCTTTTCCAACTGTTCTTTTTTACTGCCATAAAAATGTTGCATCGGGACATCTTTAACCCTACAGAAGCTACTTTGTGTGCTGCCCTTTCTGCTAGGAGGGATCCCGCGCAGAGAAGATTCATTTTGCCTTCTTTCTGGGAGACTCATCTTTGGTCCTTGTACTCTGTGCAGTGCTGGGCAAACACTCGTGATCCTAAATAAAAAGAAAGATCACATCCTGTTAGAATGATTCATGTCTTTGGAACAACAATTTACAAGGGTCTTGCTACCTCCTTCAAGGACATGGATCTACACAAATGAAGCTAAAATTGGCACGGAAACTTAGCAATGAGGTAAAATTAATACCTGCTGGCAGAGATAACGCTGCCTACTACTGATATTTTTTGGTTTATTTTATTCTGATCTTGCCTGAGAACTCACTAAGTAAATGTCCATATTGATAACTTAAATTTGTTGTCCTCATAAATGCTGAATTCTGAGACCAGTTAAGCCAAAGACAAAACACAGAAACCATGATTTCATCACAAGCACTTTATATACCAGTCTGAAATGTCTAGAAATTAAACAGACAATCTTAACATAAAATTACCTTTTAGACTGAGTATTGTCATCCAGCTGGTTTCTTCCCTTCTTAAAAATACTTGGTTGGTCACCATCTTGAGTGTCATAGGAAATCTGAATAGATACGAAAGTATGCGATGTTATTAAGAAAGCTGACATAAACTAAGTACCCTTTTTCTGTAAACAAACAAACAAACAAAAAAGGAATTATTTACCTTTTCAATGGTGCTTGATACATTTTTGCCTAATCTTCCAGAAGAAGATTTCACATGAGGAATTGGTTTATTTAGTCCTTTGGTGCTTTGATGGCTTTTTCCATTACTGTAACTAGCAAGGATTAAACAGAATAGCACATGTAAATAGCAACATATACGATCATCAGAACAGAAATACAATAAAAGTTTAGAGTGCAATTCAGTTTAAAAAAGAGAGAGAGTTGATTGCAGCTATTCTTAAAGTTCATCAGAACTATGCCGTGGTCACTTTTTATTTTTTATACTATTAACGCACTACTATATTTTTAATACTACTAATGCAAAAGGGAATAATCCAATCAATCAGATGATGTAATAGTAGAACTTAGCCCTTATATAGAATTCTCTGTCAGAGGATCCCAAAGTTACTTTGGGGATATAAATAGTAAATATTAGAGACTACAGCTTTAACTACTAATTTCTATAGTACCTGGTACGTAGTCCTACTGCAATTTAACAAAATTAATTATAAAGTACAATAGGAAGTCCACTGCAAGGCAAACCTTGCTTGCCTTTCTCATTTGCATACTCTCAACAAAATTTAAAGGATTACTCCTGTAAAGTTAAGGAGTGGAAGTGGGCAGGGAGCATACAATCTATTTTGATATTAACACAAACTGTTTCACTACAAAGGCACAAACGAAATTCACCATTTCATGTTATACTGGGGTTATGGAAATATTAGTAGGAGAAAAACTCATATGCAAGCAATAGGAATGGCATTGCTGATCTGGACAGCTTAAAACTAAAATACGTATTTCCTCAATTGAATCAGATACATTTCTGTGTAGGCACACAGAATCATTAAATCAGTGTATCCTGTAAGAATCAGAAAACAGTGTTTGTTCTACAAACAAGAAATGTTACTAATTTTACAAAGGAAAGCTTTAAAATGTCATTTTTAGAACAGGAATAAGCAAACTGTGCCCTCCCGGTCTAATCTAGTTTGACTGCAGTTCAGTTAATTTGTCAAGCTGTACATCTTGTTCACAGTTTTTATGTCAGTATAGTCAGATTTTGTTTCAAAAAACATGATTTCACCAATTCAAGAGCTTATAAAAGAATGCAAATAAGTCTTGTGCCTCCAGCATTGATGCAGTCACCTCTGTCACTTTGTGACCTGCATGATCACACTGCACAATCGTTTCTCCTGCTGTGGATCAGAGGAGAGGATGACAATCTGCACAGTACAGCCATGCACTTATTAACTCATCTACAGTATTTAGAGATTTCTGTAACTAGAAAGAGAGAAAATAATTTCCTTACTTTACCATTCCTTTGTGGTTTTCATTGATTTGGCTTTCCTTTTTCTGTGTCTCTCTGTGCAGTAATAAGGGATGTTCTTGAATGCCTGGTCCCATTATTACTCTTTTTAAAGGGTATCTGCACCTTTATTTTTACATAATCTTCAAACGACTCCAGTCTTTTGGGTTCGTAAGACACAGCGTATCAAATGCAAACATCACCACCTCCTAGAGATGCAGTAAACAAACACCATGCGATTCCTCCCAACCTGATTTATTTTTAAAGCAGTAAGATAAACATAATCAGCTACCAAACAATACTGGCAAACACCATCCCCTCCCCCAGCACTCGCTTAATGGGAACCAGCATCATTCGCCTTACTATTGCCGATCCATGCCAAGCTGTCATCGCCCCGGGTACGGAGAGGAGAGGCGAGCAGCGAGGGCAGCCGTGCTGCCCCGTCCCGGGGGCACAGGTTGGCCACTAAAGCTGCCGAGCACAGCGGGCCAAAGCTGCCAGGGCAGAGAGCCGCAGGCTTTGCTGCGGGAAGCCCTGCTGCTGCTGCAGGCAGCCGGCACAGCCTGTCAGCCAGCCCTGGCTACCACATCAGTACCGCGGGAGGCTGGCCCAGCCGCCCTGCAAACCACCAGGCTCGTGCCATGTGGTTTACAAGCCCGTCCCTGCAAGACTGGTGGTAAAATACAGGAAAACACCTGAGGATACAGCAGCGTCAGAAGAGCTACTTTTCATTTTGTAACGTGCTCATCGTCACTTTGTTCCTCCTGCGCAGCATTGCATGTATTGACTGGAGCCAAGTATCGCAGTCAAATGGTGGTGGGCGTTTCTGCTCTTAATTTAACAAGAACAGATGATCAACCACCTGCGTTCTGTGCATGTTGAGTTGTCCTTTTCGTGTCAGAAAATGCACTCTTCCTATATTCATATATGCAAATTTTGTATCAACTACTTCATTTTTTTCTTCTTCCAAAACAAATCTCTCAGTATTCCTAAGTTCCTACTAAAAATACTCAGAGCAGAATTTGTTGCATTCTTTTATTTTCCAGAAACTGCGTTCCCATAACAGGGTGCACAGATACAACTGGCAAAAAGTGAGAGATGACTAGCACCACCTCTCTTCACTCACCTTTACTTTTGTTGCAGTGCCATTTAACTATTTCTATTCGTATTCATAGCTATATCTCTGTATCCGTATCTATTTTCCTTTCATCCTGTCCTATTTCTTGAACGCCTCCCCCCACCTCCCTGGCCGCGGCGGGCGCGCAGGGGAGGATGCCGGATCGGGACCCTCGGGTTCCAGACCACCACACTGGTGCCCGCCGGCGGGGCAGCGGGCCTCCTACACAGAGCCAGTGTCATGCGATAGCGGCTGCGGGCATATCTCTGTATCCGTATCTATTTTCCTTTCATCCTGTCCTATTTCTTGAACGCCTCCCCCCACCTCCCTGGCCGCGGCGGGCGCGCAGGGGAGGATGCCGGATCGGGACCCTCGGGTTCCAGACCACCACACTGGTGCCCGCCGGCGGGGCAGCGGGCCTCCTACACAGAGCCAGTGTCATGCGATAGCGGCTGCGGGCTGGTGTCGCGACTCCCAGCCCGCGATGGC